ATGTGAAGAAAACAAGATCTTGCTATCCTCCTTCCTTTCAGAAATAAACACTCGGGGAGAAAATAACACATAATCCTTAGGTTGACATCACATTAAATAGAACATAATTAGCTTAAGTAAACACAAATATTATAAGAGTATATTATAAATAAAAGAAGAGCTGTAGAGCTGCTGCACGGGGTCACTTAAGGACTGGCCTTCATCTATTTGACACGCTTGACCGCTGGACAAATGAAGAACAATTCCATGCAAATGGAAAAAGCAGACTCCATAAGGAAGGCCCTTAGGATTGATCACATCATCCCTGTCTTCTCAATTCACGAACACCCTGTCTGGAAGTCCACTGCATAAAACTGCCATTTATGCTTTTTCAGCTAAACGGTAATTTTCCACTGAGAGCTTGCTTCTGCCCCACCCCAACCTGCTAAAGGCTCATGGACTCCAGCAGTCGTGCAGATGTCCCTTGAGTCGTGTTGCTCTACTGCACTGTGTGCAGATGCCCTGACAGTCGCCCAGTTTCTCTATGGACTACTCAGCTTATGTAACGTGCCAGGACGGGAAGCCAAAAACTCCTTTATCTTTCCCCTGAATCAGCACTGAGCCTGCTCACGCGCACACTCTCTTCTCTCACTCAGTTTCTGTCTCTTTACCATTTTTTCTTACTGATGGACAACAGCACCTGAGAGGTCCTTGTGGCCATTCCCCAGACATTTCAGAACACTGTTAGTTTTCCTGGGTTTTATGTGACCTCTCCTCTGAGGTTGACACATAAATCCTGTGGGAAATGTTGGCCAAAAAATGTCTCACGGACTAAAATAAATGCTGATCTGTAAGGATAAGTTCTGAAGCATAGCTGAAGTTAGAAAAACAAGCGATTTGTAACAGCCATTCTCTTCCTGTGTAGATGCCTAAAAACTGCAGTGACAAAGATTTAAAAAAAATGTATGATTCAGCTTATCCTATCTGATTTTGAATATGTTTAAGTGTTGGTTTTAGAGACATGCTATAACGGGGTAAAACTATTAAATTCTTTATGTACAAAAAAATTGAGTGCACTATTAAAATTCAAAGCTGATTGGAATCTACATAAACACTACATGTATACATACACTCATATAACACCCAAAGTTTCTTGTTTGGTGAACACAGGGTTGGATGCTCAGTGGTTCAGTTTGTCCTTTCTCATTGAAATAAAGGCATGGAATATCACTGCAGAACCTAAAACAGCCATATCCCTCACTTTCAAATGTGGGCCTGGGTCCTTAATAATACATGTTGTGTAGTACACACATGGCAGGGAGCTACACAAAACATTACAGGTAGAGGTAAATATTTTATAACCTGGCTCTTTGGAATAGGCACCAGAATGTATTAATTTCCTCTGAAAATAGAGTGGGCTGAGATTGTTTCCACAGGACTGTAGGTTCAGTGGATGGTTCAAAAGTAAATGATGCTGTATAACTATTATGCAGCATGCTGTCATGTCCCCATCAAATCTTAATAAACTAGATAGAATATTTAACTCATTTTTTCCCCAAAATGTCATTAATCATAATAATCAACTACATTTTATCACAATATAAACATAATCACAAACTTAGAAGTGATTTTAAAAAATTGTAATTAAAAAAAAAAAAATTTGATTTCAAGAGGTACTGCATAACACAAGTTGCCCAATAGTAGTACCGTCTAGGAATGTTTATTACCCTCAAGCATGAGTGCAACACATACACTCAAAAATAATCAATAAGATATGTTTTTTATGGTGTATGTGCCCATTTTTACCCTAGGGGAAAGAAACATAGACAAAGGCTGAGTGCATATTTTTGCAAATACATTTTACAGATTATTACAGCACTATTGTTAAGAACGTTAACATGTCAGAGACAATTTAGCCTTTTTAGTCTCAGTGTCTCATAGAGCACTTTAAACACAAGCCTAAATCTAATTAGCATTTCAAATGTGAATGAAGTTCACCCAAAAATATATTTTAGTATGTGTTGACTGTAACTATGCATGACAGCATTTAAATGGATAGTTCACCTTGAGTTGCTGGTCCCCATTGACTTGCATAGTGTTTTTTTTTTAAACTATGGAAGTCAATGGGGACCAGCAACTGAAGATGAACTATCCCTTTAACAGTGCTGCATGTTCAGCAGAGCTAAGAGGGGGGGAAAAGACGAAATGAAGTTATGTTTGCTCATCTTATCCTGAGGGTTCTGAATGTGTTTGTTTAGAGTCTTTGTTATCATAATTACACTACTGCTCAATGACCAGGATGCTTTATCATTCATTTACAGTGGTCAAAAATCAAAGCACCGCATTTCTCTCCTCTAAGATCTATTCTTCACTATATGCACTGAGCAACTTTTCAACAAAACTGCTTTAGCTTTCCCCTCCAGTACCTCTAATTCCATTAAACTCATTACAATAAGTGAGCCACACCAAGCTTCAGCATGCAGAAGCCATAAAGCAATGATTGGGGTAATAATTCGAGCCTTCACTGGGACACTTTAGCGACTGTTTGAAGAAGCACCATTTGCAGTGCATCGGTCATTGGGCATAGCTAAATGATGTGTTCACATGCATATAAAGGAAGGCATTAAACATGTCTCTCTCTTCATTTTGGCAGACTGGGCAAGTTCATTAGTGGGGAAATAGCTGCCAGCTGGGTTTTCCTTTGGGAGTTGGCTTCCTTATACCAAGTTCTCAGGCAAAAAAGAGGCAATGTGTAACAAACGAATTCACCAAGTGAAATGATTCCAAAACAGAGCTCATAACAAGTCCCCGTTTAATAGCCAGGAGGGGATGTTCCACAGCTTTCATAAATAAAAGATTAATTTCCAGAAGACTGGAATGTTTTAACATTAACAGATTGGATCTACCTCCAGTAGTTTCACTGGAAAATCTGAATAGTTTCACTTTAATGAGAGTAGCTTCAGGATGACATGAACCAGGCCAAATATAGTCAACTGATGGTTATCACATGGATTCTGTTTTTTGGGGGGTGAAGCAATCAGTTCTGGTCCTGCATTCCAATTTGTCAATAAAGCCGTGCAACCAGCCATTAGATGTTTTATAGATAATACCTGGTGGTAGCCTCCCATGTTGACCCACCAAATTAGGAGTGTTGTGGTTAAAGGTCAAAAGCTTGAGGATGGTTGGACACCAGCTGATGATATCAACTCCAACAGTCCACAAGGAGTCCACATCTAATGATTTATCATAATCCTGAGCCATGTGTGAATTCACTTTTGCAAAGTGTTTATTTTTAGTGTTTCACAATCAGCGCCCAAAAACTAGAAAGGTTTAAACAAATATAAGGAGGAGAAGAAATATTTACTTTCTGCAGCACCTGCAGTGATAAATCCTCATGATAAATAGTCAAAAGTTCCAGTGACATGCTGTACTAATGCAGATAAAAGTGGTATCTCAGTGGCTCTCTTTTGACTAAGGGTGTATTCACACCAGGAAAGTTCGCTAGTTCATGTGCTTTGGTCTGGACCAAATACAATGTTGATGTTTTTTGTTTGGTGTGGTTCGCTTTTACACTGACCTTTTTGCAAGTGAACTAGAAATTGTAAACAAAACCACACGTGTGCTAAGGTCATCCATTCATTGGCCAAAAATTCTCAAGCGTACCAGAGTTCGTTTGGAAACGGACCGAGACCACCTCTTCAGCTGGGTCTCGGTGCGGTTGTTTGGTCCGCACCCGAGTGCGATTGCTGTATTCACACCTGCCCAAAAGATCTGCACCAAGGGGGGAAACTAACTTCAGTTTGATTCAATCGAACCAAACAAGACAGGTGTGAATACACCCTAAAACTCTCTTCTCTTTATGACCACTTTATATAGGATTGTAATACACGGCCAAGTTTTCACAAAATGTTATTTAGCAAAAATGTTTGAGTTAACACTATAGCTCACAAGTAAAAAAAAAAAAAAAAAAGGTGTACTACAAAAGTGAAATAGTGATAGCATGTATTAAATGTCAATGTTTGTTCCTTAAATAAAAAATGCTGAGTGACTCCAACCTGACAACTGAGAGCTTTTATAATCACCTAGAAGAAAAATAAAAAGAAATATGATACAGCACAATGCAAAATAGCAATACGTCTGCTAAATCTAAATGATACATCTGCTAAATGAATTGTTGTAGTTTAGCCCTGGATGTATCAAAGATAGTCTGGGAGCCTCTTTCCTTTTTCGCTGTGTGAGTGATTTGGACTGTCTGAGGCCATTTCCCTGTCTGCAGCTGATTTGACAGGCCTCTCAGTTGTTCCCTTGACAGCATGTCACTGGTACCAAACCAAAAGAGCAGCTTAAGGCTGACACACCACGCAATGCTTATGCCTTCTACTGTACCATCAGTGCAAAACACATTCCTTTTCCTAACCATAAATCAGAGTTATTGTTTTTCCTAATGTAGGAAGGTGACAGCTTCATGTCATTTGAACTAAAATAACAACATTCACAATTCATGTTTCAGACAAGAAGTGGAGATATCATCTATTTGCCTTGTTATCTTGTTAAATTAAGGAAGCTTGAAGTTGACAGATAAAATGCTAATGGAATTTGCTCTGTTTACCTGTAGGCTTGTATGGTGTTTTAAAAAAAGTCAACATCAACCTACATGGATAGTTCTCCCAAAAATTTTAATTTTGTCATCATTTACTCACCCTTAAGTCGTTCCAAACCTGTGATTTTTTTTTTCTCTGGAACATAAAATATGATTTAGATTTTTTTTCCTCTAGTTGAAAGTTTTTCAAAATATTTTTTTTTCATTCCACATAAGAAAGAAATGAATTACAATTACAGGCAATGACCAAAACATACCTGATGCCCAAAACGCTGTGCATTCAGTATTACATGCCCAATATTATATAAAATGTTTACATAACACAATTCTCACATTTGACTAACTTCTGTATTTGTTTTTTTTTTAAAGTTATGGTTCTGAAAATGAAGATAAGTAAAACTATTGAGTCTTACAGTCTTACCTCTTGATGGCCTTGTAGCAGATGATGGCAGTCAGGAGGAGGAAGACCACAGATGCACAGCTTACTGTCCCCAGTACTAAGATCTCCATCTCTCTCCTCCATGGTGTTATGGGGGATACAGTGGAGGGAGCCACTGGAAGAGTTACACCAAATACACAAAATAATGATCTTTAAAAAAAGCATCATATGACCCCTTTAAAAAGCATGCAGAGCACAGAAAAATAAATATGCAGAACAGGGATGTGCAAAACTACATCAACTAGTGGGTCTTGAGGAAGCCCTGAAACAGCTAGATGAAGAACAACAGAATGCAGTGTTCTCGTTTTATTTTACACTTGACATGCCATCTAAAAAAAAACAATGCTCATCATGGCACAAAAAAAAAATCAACACAAAACACTAAGATGGCCTAAGACACTTGTGTACATAGTCCAACATTTATAAAGTATTTCTGGAGCTCAGTTATAATGCATGGCAAGATCATGGGTGGTAAATTTGTTATAAAAGCAATGCTTTGATGCCTGTACCGGTAGTAAATTTAAAGATGCAAATTCACGGAGCACGTTTTAGCATGATGTCAGTTAGAAAAGACAGCTTCGCTAGTTAATTAGTCAGTTGTTGGACAAGTAGTCAACCATCCCACCTGTCCCTAATGTAGAGAACTGTACTTTTACCATTATCACTCTCACACTGGTCTCTCACACCAATACAGTCTGATTGTCCAATCATAAGGCTGCAGCATTCTGCTCTACTCCATTTATCATTCCATATCCGAGAGGCGCTTTATTTGGACCATTACACAGCCGTCTCATCCAGAAACATATTGGTGCTTCAGGCTGCTCTACCTTTCCCACCACTTTAAAGTTTGGATGAATTTTCTCTGGTTGGGAACTGATAGTGGCACCCTGCTTTAGTGAGCAGTTTTAATGGTACTTAAAAAAAACATGCACAGGAGAAGGCTAATTAACGAGTTCATTGTCCTCATGAGCACATGGGGCTACTGCCTCTTCTCTCTCAGAATCAGAATAAGAAAGAGCTTTATTGCCAAGTGTGTTTACACACACACAAGGAATTCGTCTTGGTGTCAGGAGCTTCCAGTACAGACATACATATAATGTAAGGTAATAATGTAAAAATAAAACACTAATAACAAAGAGAATAGACAATAAATAAAAATATATAGAGAAAATATAGAGAAAAAGAAAATATCAATAGACAGAATTGTTAATGTGCAAGTGCTATTTACAATGAAAAGTTTTGATAAGTTATTTACAGATGTACAGTCTTGAGATGTTTTATGTATTGTTCAGGTGGTATATGGCCTGGGGGAAAAGGCTGTTCTTGTGTCTGGCTGTTTTGGTACTCAGTGCTCTGTAGCATCGGCCAGAGGGCAACAGTTCAAAGAGGAAGTATGCTGGGTGTGAGGGGTCCAGACTCCAGAGTGATTTTACCAGCCCCTTTCCTCACTCTGGAGGTGTAAAGTTCTTGGAGGTTAGGCAGGGGGGCACCAATAATCTTCTCAGCAGTCCTGACTGTCCGTTGTAGTCTCCTGATGTCTGATTTGGTAGCTGAGCCAAACCAAACAGTTATAGATGAACACAGGCTTACAGACTCAATGACGGCCGAGTAGAACTGTGTGAACAGCTCCTGTGGTAGGCTTAATTTCCTCAGCTGGCGATGAAAATACAGCCACTGCTGAGCCTTTTTTACAATAGAGTCAATGTAAATGTCCCACTCCAGGTCCTGTGAGATGGTGGTGTCTAAGAACTTGAATGACTCTATTGCAGCCACAGTGCTGTTCATGATGGTGGGGGGAGTGCAGGGGGGTTTCTCCTGAAGTCCACATTCATCTCCACAGTTTTGAGCGTGTTGAGATCCATGTTGTTAAGACTGCATCAGACAGCCAGCTGCTCAACCTCTTGTCTGTAAGCAGACTCCTCACTGTCCTGGATGAGGCCGATAACTGTAGTGTTGTCCGCAGACTTCAGGAGCTTGACAGAGGGGTTTTTAGAGGTGCAGTCATTTGTGTACAGGGAGAAGAGCAGTGGGGAGAGAATGCAACCCTGAGGGGCACCAGTGCTGATAGTGAGGGTCCTAAATGTGAGTTTCCCCAACCTCACTAGTTGCTGCCTGTCTGTCAGGAAGCTGGTAATCCACTGACACGTGTGTGAAGTGCAGATCAGACCGGGTATGGGGTGTGCTGGGTCGAAACACTGGGCCGAAGGCCGAATACCGAACACGGTTTTTCAAGTTTTTTCCCCCATGTATTTTGACAATTTTTTTCACCATTGCATAAATTAAATAGCCAAAACTTGCTTTTTACTGTTTTGTCTTGTTTTTCAAAGAAAAACTCAATTACAAAACAACAATTTAAAAATATTTAACACTAAACATTTTTTAACATTCTAGCACAATTTAACTTAAAATTAATGTTACTAAAATAATATTTTTGGCGATCAGACCCCCTTCTTAAATAAGGCATGTATTTTTTACTGTAAAATTAAAAGCAGCCTTGCTGAGCAGAAGAGACTTCTTTTAAAACATTAGAAAATATTACAGATCCCAATTTGAACACTATGTGTGATATATGTTGCAGCGCTGTCAGAATACATGCAATTTGTGCGTGTATTAGAAAACATAACGTTCTGCAGTTTGTTTACTAATCGTTTAAGGCCATTTCGCGATTTCAATCATCATACAGTAAACCAGCAACAATCAGCCCTTCCTCTTCTCATCGAAGACATGCGATGCAGTACTAAATAGTCTCTCGCTGTCGGTGCTTGTAATGATATTTTGCGTCTTTCTTGGACAGTTTAAATGCTTCCACTGCTGACATGTTTGTTGCATTATAAAGAGTGCGCGCCTCTCACTTTACGCTGGTTGCTATTTGATAGCGTCATGTCATTGTTCGGTATAATTTATTCTGTATTTTTGCTTATTCCAACCTTAATGTTCGGTTGCCGAACATTCGGTGCATCCCAGCAGCTTTTTTTAGCCACTCTGATCTCCTTTGTTAGTCTGTTCCTGGCCAGGTTATACAAGATTTTATCCCCACTTCTGTTAGCATCCTTTTTGGTGTGACGAAGCTGTTTGAGTTTCCCAGTAAGCCACGGTTTATCATTATTGAATATTAAGAATGTCCTGGTAGGAATGCGGTGGTTGCAGCTTCAAAAACACTCCAATCGGTGCAGTCGAAGCAGGCTTGATAATCCTACAGGTTTACCTGATTTCAGTTTCTGCCTGTAGGTCGGTATAAGATGAACTAGACGCACTCTCCCTTCCTCTAGATCTATGTTTCTCGCTTTCCACCATCACATAACTCAGTCTCTCTTGCTGTCTTTGCCTTTCTGTCTAAATACCTTTTGAGCCTCATGTTCAGATGTATCTGTTCTGAAACTCTGGCTGTTGACAGTATTTGGGATTGACAACCACTTTTACTAATAACTGTGAGTCTCGAATTAAGTTCATATAACAGCTTACAGTAGCAGCTCAAATACTCTGTATGTGTGACTGAAAAGGGATACAGTCCAAACGAACTCTGGGGTACAGTTTCCAGAGCTGGTACCGGAGACCAATCTGATATCACTCCATGTTGAAGTTTCACATGGTTTTTTATTATCACGACTGAAATGAAAAGGAAGTAGGAAACAAAACAGAACAGCAGCGACACCCAATGTCGTCAGTACAACAGTGACACCTATTGGCAAATTACTATATTACAACACTCCCACTTATTTTTCCAAAAGCATTAAGCAATGTAATGGTAAACTATTTTACTTTTAACAAATACATTTTTTTTTTACCGTGTCAAAATACAATAAATCATACTAATACAAACTCGTACAGTCTTTTTCTTTGTCTTTTTACCATGTTAACAGATTTTGTATCGTAACACAACACTAAACACAGTCTAGCCTATTTACTGTTACGCTAAATTGAATTAAATGAAACAAAGTCCAATCTCACTCCTAAGATACTCAAACTTCTGTCTTACTAATGGCTTGGTCAAGATATCTGCCTTCATGTCATCTGTAGGGCAGTATTGCAGTTGGATTTGACCATTCTGCACACACTCACGAATGTAATGATAGCGAATGTCTATGTGCTTAGTCCGTGAATGGTCAACTGGATTCTTTGCGATTGCAATAACTCCTTGGTTGTCCTCCAGAATCACCACAATGTAACATGCATTCCAAGATCACTCAGTAGTCTTCTAAGCCAGGCACATTCCTGAGCTGCTTGACTAAGTGCAACATACTCAGCCTCTGCTGTCGAAAGAGCAACAGTTGACTGTTTCTTGCTGAGCCAGCTCACGGCTCCTCCACCCAGTAAGAACACATTGCCAGTTGTCGAGCGACGATCGTCCTGGTCACCAGCCCAGTCAGCATCTGAGTATCCGATCAAAGTTCCAGAATCTGACCGCTCATATTTGAGAGCAAGATTCAGGGTACCCTTCAAGTACCGTAGAATTCTCTTCACCGCCGTCAGATGCGCAGCACTTGGATTAGCGTTGAACTTTGATACAACACTCACTGCTTGTGCTATGTCAGGTCGTGTGGCCATTGCAGCATACAGTAGGCTACCTACCATGGACTGGTAAGTACTTGAGTTCACAGGCTTGCTTACACCGTCATTCTTTTTTAGCTTCACATTTACATCAGTTGGAGTTGCAACAGAATTTGCATCATGCATGCCATATTTTTGAAGAATGGCTTCTATGTAATGCTTCTGATGAAGAAACACACAATTTCTCTCCTTGTCTTGGATGACAGAGATACCCAAGATATAGGAAAGCTCTCCCATGTCCTTCATCTTGTAGCGCTTCTTTAGAGCAAGTTTCAGCTCTTTCATGCTTTCTATCGACTCCGTGATCAGGATCAGATCATCAACATATACAGCCAATATCTCCAGCTCCTGTTGACATCTCACAAACACACATGGGTCCGATGTACTCTGTTTGAAACCAATGTTCTTCATGAACTCTGTGAAAGTTTTACTCCAGCAGCGAGGGGACTGTTTCAGCCCGTATATTGACTTTTTCAGTTTGCATACCAAATGTTCCTCCCCTGATTTGACAAATCCCTCTGGTTGCTCCATGTAGATTTCCTCGTCCAGGTGTCCATTTAGAAATGC